GACCTTTAAAAATGCGTCAAGTCCAATAAAGCGGCAGCCCTGAGGCGCAGTAGTGGGGCATGCTTCACAGCCGCATGCCGCACAATTGCACCCGTCCTGATTGATGTTGAGAGAGGCTGTTCAATTGGCGAGCAGACTCCGGCCGGCTGACAGTGCTTGAGAGGTGAGTAGGGACATTGGTGACACGAGGATCAAACGCAGAACTTGCATTGCGAAGGGTAGGGGTGAGAATCCCCATGATAGAGTGAGGGTTGGACGTGGCAAGCATCTGTGAGGGCTCACCGCACTTGGAAAAGTGGGGATAGAAGGCGAGAGGCGAGCCGCCGCCGCTGTGCTTGGGAAGTGTGGACGCGCTGTGTATATGTTTTTGCCGGCTTTTTATCACTTGAACCGTTTGGCTGGACTACAGTTTGGAAGAGCAGTTGCACGGTCTTCTTCCCTGTCCCAGAGGCTTGCTCTACTTGCCATCGTGATGATTCTCCTGTGAGTGCCAAAACAGTGTCGTGCTGGCAACAGCTGATCTAACAACACCATTCAAGGAAGTGTGGCAATTCCTTGGCGTGCGGAAACAAACATTCTGATTCACTGGCGAAGTTTGGAGCTGATGGCTACCGCCTACGTATGTAAGTCTTCTTCATGATGATGACTAGACTTTATGTCGCTTGACGAGGAAACGAGGGACATCTGTTCCACTTGTGAAATGTGTGAAAAACTCCACCTTTCGAAAATGCAGGGCCGCGTGTCACAAGAGTTCACCTCATCACAGCCCATCGTGCCTCGATAACTGTTCTTAACCCCCTCACAAGATATCCAGGGCAGTTGTGCAGCTGAATCAGAAGGATTTCATGCACAGGTGGTCTCTGCCTGGGACACTGTTCAATACTTGCGACAGCTCTTGGATTCTGTCCCTGAGCTGCAGCTAGCGTGCAGAAGGCGACCGTGCAAGAAACCAATGCACGCCAGCCATGTGCATCCTGTATTAATCAAGAACCTGATACCACAAATACAACAGATCATGCCCAAAAGAGTACCCAAATGCAGGTTGTGCCATTGGAGCTGCTGCAGCAAATACCAGGGCCTCCTATTGTAGTTCCCTGCAATGATAGAGTGCCACACAATTTGCATCTTGCCATTACCATTTAAAGCACCTGGCAACAAGCACAGCGAAAGCCATGCAAACGCACCCTGAGCCTGCAGAGGCCCATGCAACGCAGCTGAGCGTTTAACAGTGGTGCGATCTATTGTGAGAGTACACAGGTATTGTGCGAAGTCTTGAACCAAAGCTCTTGCACCCCCTCAAGGTCCCATGCTCGTGCCTGCATCTCGTGCAAGAGCAATCATGTATCGGCACCATGAAGCCACTCGTTCCTGGCTTCCTGGGGTCCAGGTTGAGCCAGGACGCAATGGGCATTGTCGTTGTAAATCCCGTCCGTACAGCATCGTCGGGAATCCACTCGCACATGGAAACAGGTGGACATGTGCACACCTCCGCCCAATCCAGGTGTATGACACCAAAATGAAGGAGAACAGTCCAGCTGAAACCCACGTCAAAAGGGCACCCATCGCCTTGACCAAGTAACCAAACCTTTCAGCAGGCCATGCCCCATAACCCCATACGACCATGTCCCGCCTCTCACCCTCCGCCATATTCTCCCGAGCCCCTCAGTGCACAAAGTCTGGAAGCGCTGGAAAGCAGAGATGTATAAACATGCCTCCTCAAAGGCCATGGCTGACATCGTGCAATCATCACGCTGCATCTGCCAGTGCAGTACCCCGTCACGTACTGGCTGAATGCAATCACACATGTCGTCTCTCCTCCATTTCTCCGTTCTCCCATTTTCACCTCACCGCTTTCCAGCATTCTGGTGCCGGCGTATGATGGACATAATGAACGCAGGTACGTTCTGCACCGTTGCCAGATTCTGAGCGGATGACAGGTCATCCAGGACACTGATGATCTCGTAGTCAGACAGTCGCTTCAATGCCTCGGCCACGCCCTGGTCGAAGTCCGTGTTCTTAATGTACTTCTGGTGCAGGTACACCACGTCGTCGATCTTCTGGCGGATGTCCGGGCTAAGGGAGGAGAGGTCGCCTGCGACCCCACGGGGCGACTGGCGCACAACACGGGACTGTACGGGAGGGGGAAAGGTGCTGCCACCAGGAGGGGCTGGGCGCCCAGCATGGGGCAGGAATTTGCGGGCGACGGACTGCAGGGTGGAGCATACAAATGAGTTGTGAGAGCAGGCCCATACACGAGTCTCCATGTGCTGCTTGACACATGGCGGTGACACTCATCTTCTGTGCCTTGAAACTCATGCGACAGCCAACATTCACGATCCGCACTGAAGCACTTAGTTGTGCACAGGTGCTGATGCATGCTGTCAGCCAGGACATCACTGCATTTCTCGAGAAATGCAGAGTTTTAAACGCCTTTGGGATTAAAGGATTGCACTTTCCTCAGCCGGGCACAGAGGCACTGGAAGTGCTTGACATGCTGCACACAAGACAGAAACGATGACAAGCATATGCTCTCATCACAATCATTATGATGGTTGTAAGGGAATCAGTTTCCGTGCTGCACACAATTCTTGCCCATTGCCAAGCTTTCCTCCATGCTGTACAGGCACAAGCTGAATACTTCAACACTCATTATGTCCGAGAAAACAAATGACCACAGCCCCCCTAAGGCAAGGATGGAGGCCACCATCAGCACCACAGGCTCCAATTCATCACCACACCCTGCTGAGCACCCACCATGAAGAAGGCGTTGACATTCCTCAAGTTGTTAGGGCCCTGCAGCTTGTTCGCCACGTCCTCGATCACAGCCAATGCCTCAGGCGCCTTGAGCTGCGCAAGTGCATCCCACGCCCCATCGTCTAGCACTGACACAAGCCGCACGCCCTCGTCCCAGAGTGTCTGCAGCTTCAGGGACGGGGCGGGGTGCACATAGGTAGCATGCGGGGACAGCTTGTGGAACTCATCCACCCGCACGCCCATCTGGAGTTGCTCCATCCCATAGTTGTGCCTGTCACTTTCGGGAGGCATGAACTGGCCAGGCATGCCAGGGACGGGCGCCAGGCCAGGCGTCATCACGGCTTGCGGGTCAAGGGGGTTGTACGGCATCGTTGCGCCCATCTGATTGGGCATGGCCACTGGGTACTGCGGCATCTGCGAGGGCACTGGGAACTGCCCTGGCATTCCCTCCATACCCATTCTGTTCATCCCAACAGGAGGCATCTGGGAGGGCGGGGGCATCATGTGGGGCACGGCCTGGGGTGGCCCACTGTGCCTGTCGAAGTCATTTTCCAGCCGCCGCAATATGGAGACAAACAGGGCAGAGAAGTTGCGAACGTCGGAGAGGTCCCGCCTGGAGAACTCGTTGAGGGCCTCGAGTCCCATGGGGACAGGCAGGCGGGCCAGCTGGGAAAGGCATTGTCGGTCCAGGTCTGATGGCCGGCACACGCCTTCCTCAAACATCATCTGAAGCCGGGCTGACACCTCGATCGGCAGGTTGGGTCCAGCTCCGTTCTGCCCATTGGGTGACTTGTGGGGCCACTCCGGGTCCGCCTTTTTAATGCGCTGCATCACGCCTATCAGGTAGGCGCTCTTCTTGCGCACCTTGCTCAGATCGCACTTGCAGAACTGGTCCAGGACCTCCAGGGCTTGTTCATTGTCGAACTCGGACAGCTTGGCAAGGGCCCTGTCATCGATTTCAGCCTCCTCCACCTGCAGGGCAAGCCAGGTGTGCACACCACTGGGTGTCAGCACAATCGGTCTGCAGGGAAAGTCGTGCAGCAGCCAGGAGGGGCATGCGAGCTTACGAAAACCTTGCTGTTTACCCCAGGATCGCCACACTGGCGACATGAGGTGCTCCGCTTTCCATAACCGCCACAGACGATACTGGCAACAAAAATCTTGGAACGCGCATGTGCTTGTCATCGCCTGCGAGGTGCAAGGACTCCGCTCTGGCTTGTGAAGGAAAATGCACCACAAGAAATCCAATCACACTGGCGAGGCTACAGGCCACCAGGATGGGCACCGACCCCCCCCTGGAGTGCCGACTTTTCCTTCCTGCACAGCCCCCTACAAAAAAACTCCCCGATCTTCCAGCACAGCTCGCCGGGGGGAATCGACCCGCAAGTCCAGGTCTCCCGCCCGAGTGCTCCCCGCCGACGGGGCGACGCAGCCCAACGGGCGGCACAGCTCACGTCGGTCACGAGCGAGCAGCGGGCGGCAGCGAGGCGGAAGGAGCAAGGCGACGGCAAGTGGCCCACGGGGACAATCGGCGCCGCCTCTCGCGTCCTCTTTACCTTCACCCGCGGCAGCCTGCCCTCCAGCCGGCTTGCCTGTCCCCACCACCCTGCTCACTCTGCCCACTCTGCTGCCTGCCTGTACATCCCAACCTCGAGGCCCGCAGCCCAGGCTGCTCCCCCCTCCACCCCACACCACCCACACCGGCCCGTCCCTAGCGTGGCCGCGGCACGATCGGGATCCAAATCGGCCTAAGGTCCGAGCCAGCCAACAGGCGACAGTGACCAGACCACAAGCAGCCATGGAAATCGGATTCTACGGATTGTAGCCCTGCTGTGCTGCAGTGGGCAGCCCCCTGGCCGGGCTGCCCCGCCACTCACCAATCCTTCGTCGAACATCGCGCGCAACTTTACGCGAACCGCCGCGTCGAGCGCTTCCAAACCGTCTGCAACGCACCAGCACACATCGGATTCGCGGCGTTAAGGGGCAGAAGGGGACAGCTGCAGCTGCAGGGGGGGGGGCGGCTGTGCATGCGGGTCAGCACCGGCAGGGACGCCCGAGGGCAGAAGGGGGGGGGGGGGGATGCTGCCACAGAGCAGGGCGGGGCCTTAAAAACGAACCGATTCGCGGGTTCTTGGTCGTGCGCTGCGCCGCGTCGTCCGATTCGTCGTTCGCTGTCAGGCCCGCGTCGTCCGCGCTTCGCTTCGCGATCGCGTGCTGGGCCATCGTGCCGCGCCGGCCGCTTCGGCGATCCGCACGCTTCGATCCGCCGGGGGCGTCGTGGCGCGCGGGCGTGGGGGGCGCGCGGGGGGCGGCTCGCGCGGGGGGCGGCGGGCGGAGGGGCCGGGGAGTGCGGGGTCCTTGGGTTCAGGGGGTTGCCTGGCGGAGGTCAGGACGGATGGGAATATGGAAGGGGTGTGAAGGGTGAGTGGAGGGACACTGCGCTGATCTTGATTGGAACAGTTGCCTCATTTGTTGTGATTAGGGGAAGGGCATGCGATATTCTCCCAATAAACAGCAAGGTCTTCGGCAATTCAAATGGCTTGAACACGGAGAGAAACTCGGGGCAAGCAATGGTTTGTCTGTGGTGCTCGGCGGCTGCTCAGGTCGAGCTGTGGACGGGCGTTGGTTTCAGCCACTTAACTTTAGAGACATCCACAACGTGGATTCCACACGCTTTTGGAAGGTTTTAGGTTTTGCTGCCCCCATGCTTTCTCGTCGGTTGTTTGGCGTTCCCTTTCCGTGAGGAATTTCGCTGCTCACCTCCATTTTTGTCCGTGAGTCTAATGGCCATCTGCCCAGTAGGGTTGCGTCCACGGGGAGCTCATGCAGATGGATGCTGCTCTTGGCCTTGAGCCCTGCCCCTGTGGGTGCCGGGCTCGCTTGATTAAAAATTGGATGAATATGCTCAAAGCCCTCACACCATAAAGCAAAAATCATCGTCAGGTGACCTTAAAGACGTTGGTTATAACACGCAGCACGTTAAAAACAGGCTGCCGTATGTCCACGTCGAAGTATCACAAAAATCGGTGCTTGCTGCCCCTTCCGGTAATGCAGACAAGGCAATTGCCCTGACTTTTACCAGAACACCACGCGTTGCGTTTTCTTCGTCATATTGTGGAGAATTCTCCCGTCGATTAGTAGTGTGTTTGCACTCAATTTTGCTCCTGTCCCTCTCCCAACCTTCTCCCCAGACACCCAGGCACTTCGCCAGGCTTCTCCCGAACACGCCGCCCACCCCGGGCGCCCCCCTCCCAGGCCTTCCCATCGAGCCAACCCTCCGCCGAGCCCGTGCCCAACCTCCCAATCCCCTCGCCTTCACTCCCACGACCGCATCGCGCCCCTCAAACTCCATTCTGCCGGGCAGTTGAACTTGCGGAGTGCGCCTCGAGAAATCGGCGAGCGCGAGCTGCGGATGGCGCAGCGCAGCGTGCCAATGGGCCCCGCACTGGCCTGCCTGCTGCTGGCCGCGGCGGCCCTGGCGGCCGACGACCTCGCGGGGCCGGAGGTGCCGATGGGCGGGATCGGCACCAGCGGCGCAAGGCGGGGCAACGGCACGAAGCAGGCGGCGACGGTTGGGGAGATCGTGGGGGAGAAGGTCGAGGACGCCATAAAGGAGGAGTTCAGGGGGGAGGTGGCGGAGGCGGAGCGGGACAAGGGGAAGAACTTCAACCAGACGGCCAACAAGTCGGACGTGAGGCGGGGGCCGAACGGCTTTGTGGCGCGATCTGGATGTGCGCAAGTCAAAATTGTTTGTCGATGCGTTGCCAGGGGGAAATTCATTGACAGGGATACCCCAGTGATGATTCTGCCCCGTGTCAGCGGTTGGTTGGCCGCGGTGGAAGAGCTGGGAATCAGGAGAGGGATGTTGCCAAAACCGCCCACACCTGTGCCTGTTGAACCCATAGGGTGTTGTGATGGTGAGCACATGCCACTACCAGCGCCCATGGCGCAGGGGTGAGTGGGTGGAGTATGCAGCCATATGGGTGGGTGGGGGGGGGTCCGACTATCACCTGGTGACACACATTGGCTGGAGGCCCCAACCCACCAGTTTCGCCCACGACGCCGGATAGCGCGGCTGGTGGGACACATCCCACAATGATCGGCTCCTGGTGTTCGTTCGGCGTTCGTAAGTCCTCCTTATTATGCATTCATTGAGCGATGGTCACAGGGGAATATCTGCTGTCCGATTGCAGCCCCCCGTTGCATTCAATTAGACATGTTTCCCCATCGGCGCCTCACTTGATGCTTGCGGGTCGGCGGCGTTTGCGGAGAACTCATGCATCGGGGTCCATTGTTGCTACACAGTTGCACTGGTGCACTGTCCCTCCCCCCCCATCTCTTGTTGTCCCTGATTGCCCGCGCGCAGCTTGCGACTGTGGCCCAGGTTTCCAGACACAAACCCTTTCTGTCCCACTTATTTCCTGTCCTTTGTTGCCAGGCCCAACTGGAAACGGTGATCAAGGTACCCGGGCACAAGCCTAAGGTGTCCAACGATAGCATTGAGGTCAGTGCAGATGGCAACCTCCGCCCGGTGGGCAATGGGAGTGGCACTAACGCCACAGATGCCACGGATGTCGAAGAGAACGACGTGGATAGGATCATTGACAAGCAGGACAATGAATATGTCCTGTCCACTCCCAAGTAAGTGTGGAGTCATGGGTGCCATGTGCCAAGTGCAAATAAGTCTGTAGGTATTGCATCCAGGCTCATGTCACAAGTATTGATGCCTTTGTGTGTTGCATTGCTATCCAGAAAAACACTTGCATGTCCCAGTGATCATGCTGGGCTTGCAGTTGTGAATGATGGAAATGAATTCAACAATGCAACGCGTTCCCAATATTTTAAACAGAGTGATACCGTATTTGCGTGGTATTAGTATCCGCTCCCTATTAGTATCCACACCTTTCTTGGGGGTCGAAACCACGTTACTATCCATGACCTGGTGCTAGTATCCACCCCCACACCTCAAGTGAGCAGAAATGAGGGAAGGCGTGGATGGTTGCAAGGGATGTCAGTGGCTGGTGTTGGGCCACGTTGCCCTGACTGGACCAAACCGTGTTCATGCGATTCGTGCATCGATGATGACGATCGGTTCAGTGTGGATGCCATTGAGGGAGAATTGGTAGGAGGCCCGCAAAAGGCCCTGGGTTTGACAGGCTTCCGTTGGGGCTTTTAGCACAAGATCGCTGGGCGGCGATTGACGCTCCTAGCCCTGATCAAAGAAGCGATCGAGAAATCAAAGCTGCCCTGGTTTCTAGACTGAGTCCACCTGCTCCCCGGCCGGCCAGAACGGGTTCTAGTGACGCCTGCAAAGGGCGCCCCAAGGCCAAGCGCCAGGAATGGGTAGGCGACGGCGCTGGTCGGGCCGGCTGCCTTTGTGAGACAGCACCTTGCAAGCTGGCCTAGATATGCCAGGGCGCTGCGTCGTGATGATGGACTTGGCCCCCGGCACTTTCCCAGGGTGAAGCTGGCTGTGATAGCTGATGGGATCTGTGCTTGGCCAATCACACAACAAACCCATGGGTTTGTGGAATGCGAGCTGTGCGAATTGGGGATGGGCCCTGCCTTTGCAGCATTTTGCAGGCCATGTTGGTCCTTGTTCTTTGCATCAAGGAGGCAAATGCGCCTCGAGCAGTCCAAGGAACCCCTGTTGGCCCCAATCGCCAGTTGCCCCCACCTGTTGCAGCCCCAAGTCAAGGCCGCTGGGTCTTGTGAAGAGGCTGACAACTTTCAGTAATAGCATTGCTCACTAACAATATGGTGTTGTCAATAGTGTGGTGTCCATTATTTGTTTGTAACTTGAATTTGGTGATGCTGCTACCTATGCACTACATCTTACGTTTTCAAGCCCATTTTGGGGGGCATTTCACGATGTATGTTCCAAAAATTTTCTTGTCTACTCCTTGGATGAGGGTTCTAAACTGCATTAGTGTCCAAGACCCACCATTCGTATCCACCGCTCATTTTGGGGGTCCAATATAGGCCTACTAATACCGGGTAAATACGGTATTGTCCACCACACAGTAGACTAGAAGGAGTCCTGAACTCACTTGATGCCATATGCAGTGGATACGACAGGAGTGCCCATGCTGTTCAGCTGCCTGCCCTTGACAATCAGCAAACAACTATGGATGACCTTGGGTCCTGTCACCAGTGGCAAATGGACGATCGTGACTTGGTGACGATCTCGATGGTGGCCTCCATTCAGCTGCTGAGTTTTGGGTGCCTATGCTGTGAGCACACAATTGTAGGGATGGCCTACCCATGTGTGCCTCCCAGCCACAGCTTCTGGGTTGCCGAAGATGCCTTTGTCAGTGCTTGCATCCCAGCAAGCAAAGATTGAGAGACTAGTCCAGCAGAAATGTACATTAGAGAGAATAGAGATCTTTCAATACATCAGTGAGTGGTGTAACAAAGTGCGCAGAGTGAAATGATGGCAACAGAACAGCCATGTTGTTGTCCCTGGCCTGCCTGTCTTTGTCACCTGCTTGCTGCCATTTGTACAGCCTCATTGTCATCTTGGGGGCTCTCTGTATGCACAACCAGTTCTTGTCTGCAGGGACTGGACCAGCATTTGGTGGATTGAAGCATTTCTGGTTCTTGAGTGACTTTCCCTCATTGTTGCTTCACCCTTGTTTGCTCAGGCACTTCGCTGCTTTGACTCTGGACCCTCGCCTCATAAAAGACCTGACGATATTGATAACCACAGCAGCTGTGAGTGCAGTTATGCCAATGCGGTTATTGGCTCCATCGTCTTGCTCTTTATTTGTTCGCAGGCTGATAATTGCTGGCCACCTGGGCACCCTTATGTGAAGTTTTTTACCACTGGCCGAGAGTTGGTCATATGCTAACACAACCAGTCTGGCTGATGCCTGTTCTGTCAAGCTGCTGTGCTCCATACATTAAGTGTTGTTTTTTGTGCAGAATACCCTGGCGCTTCTCAATATTGGCTGTGTTGGCTGATTTTGCCATGAACATATGTTGATCTTGAAGAATGTTGCAACCCTGCCCTCTTTTCAAGCACCTCTTGACATGTCAAAATGAGCACATTTTCTAAGATTCTTGGCAGAGCAACAATATTGGTAAAGTTTGTTGCTTCCTGTCTGGTGTGGATCATCATATTCATTGAGGCTCAGCTGTAGTGATGTGTTGGCTCCATAAAATGCATGGCTACCCACATGTCCGTGGCCTGGAGTCGCTTGCCTTGAATGGGGTTAGTATTGCCCGCCTGGAAAATTCGATTTTGTGGAGTATTGCTTTTGCTCGAAATACAACCTCTTGGTTGTTTGTTGCAGCATAAAGTCCAGGACAAAACTACTATAATGAGATTGCAATTCAGCAAAAGACTGCCGTGTTGATACATGGACGAATTCTGAAATCCAAGAGTGTTTCAGTGACATCTTTGCATGGGTATTGTATGCTGCAGGCAATTGGCATGGTGTTCGAGGCCATAGGACAGCCTGTAATCAATGGTTACCTTATCGCGGGGGCCATAGTGGGCCCTGGAGGATTGATGCTGATCAAGGTGAAGAGTGTCAGAAGCTAATAACAAGGATCTGCGTGTGACTGCATCAATCTGTGGCATCCAACTAGGGCTTCCGTAATTTTGCTGAAATACTAGCAGTTTGTGTGCCTTAGACACCCACAGCACACTGCTGGAAACTGCAGTTTTTGGAGACCACCACAGTACTGGTGTGCTGCTACAATTTGCAGACCATGTCCTATGCACTGGGTTAAAAGGACATGAGGCATGGCAGATAAAGAACTCTGTATCAAGATTTGCTCCTAGCATATTCTGGCATAGTGGGAGCCGATTGTCTTATGGTGTCCTCAAGGATGTCAGTGAAACAAGGGAGATGTGACAAGTGGGTGCATGAATGAGTTGTCCAGAATTCGCACCTGAAGTCGCCTCCCATGTTTGTGTTCGCTTTGTGATTTGAATGCGACTTGGTGGTGATGATGATTTGATTGTGACTGGTTCCCAACAATCCAGACAGGACAACTTGCGCATGAGCACAACTGACTCCGAAGCCATCTGCTGCTCTGGCCGCAAAACAAACTGTAGCAGATTGGGATCCTATGAAGCCATCCATCGGGTGGGAAGTGTGGAGCTGATCAGCTGTTGCATGCCTGGCCAACTGAAAATGTCCAGAGCGTGCAGTGTGGGGTCAGCTGATCTGCCTTCTGCTTACCCCAAGGCTGTGCATGAGTTTTTGTGGCTTTTATGCTTTGGGGTTTGGTGTTCAAGGATTCATGGCTTTTGTAGTTGGTGTGCTTGTCTCATGAGCTGGATGGGGTTTGCGGAGCCTGTGATTGCCTGCAGTTCAACAGACAATGTGGGGCGCATAAGAGGAGGTTAAGTTCGGTTGCATGGAATGTGATCTGGCAGGAACTTGTTCAAGTCGAGTCCCTGTCTCAGCTGGGTGTCCAGTTTCTCCTGTTCTACCTCGGGATGGAATTTTCAGTATTCAAGATGAGGGTGGTGGGGGGCGTCGCACTGATGGGTGAGAGTTATGTGCTGTCTTTTGACCAACGTGCTATGCATGTTGTGACCTGCATTCGTGCTAGTTCGCGATCGTGTGTCGAATGCTGACTGTGACACGTTTGTTCGTCCAGGGCTGGATTTTTTAACTCTCGTGCTATGCGGTTCCTTCCCCGCAAGTCATAATGTCTCCGACCTGGTGTCTGATCTTTTCCTTTTACCAGGTGGTTTGATCGAGGCCTCCATTTTTGTGGGGGGCGCAGCGCTGCTGGCAGCCATCTTTGGTGGTGTGATGGCACAGGGCATCTTTCTGGGAGCCCTTATCTCCATGTCATCCACGTCAGTTGTGGTAAAGGTCCTTGAGGCCAGCCATTCGACAGCGACACAATATGGCCAGATCACCATCGGCACGCTCATCCTGCAGGACTGCACTGTGGGTGTCATGTTTGCGATGTTGCCCATCCTCAGTGGCAAATATGGTGGAGGTGCGTGCATTCTGGGACTCCATTAAAAATCAAATTCCACCACATAGCACTGCAATTCTTTCTCAGTTCTTCGTGAACAAGAGAGGTCGCTGTGCTTCCAGGCGCACATTTAAAGGGCATGGGTCAGTCAAAGTACCATCCAGGGATTCCCGCAGCACTTTGCTGAAAGCTTGCAACAATTTCATTGGTGACACACTTTGTTTTCTTTTTGAAGAGTAAGCACTCCAGGTTTCAGAGTGCTTTGAGTCTAGTTGTCACCACCTTCAAGACTAGCGGTGTTGGTGGATAACTTCATCACATTTGACCCTTGTTGTGCTATTTGTTCATGAACTTGGTGCCATTAGTGTTTCAGAATTGGTACCAGGAAGAACCTGAGGATGATCGAGTGCTGCAGCCAGTTCGAATTAGGGTTTAGGGGGCCTGCAAACTGCTACACCAAGTGCCAGGCTCCCAAGTGCCAGGCTCCCAACTTCAACAAAGAGATGACAGCATGCATTGGACACTTCTCTTTGTAGCCCACAACTGGTGCAGGCCTTTTGGTGTGCTTGCTCAACCTCCTCAGCTGTCCATGAACTCTCAACAGGATGTGCGCAATTCAGGCCCAAGTCAGTGTATTTGCATTGTTAACATGTTAAGCAAATAGTGCCCAGGTACCTGGGAGCCAATGGTGGGTGCAGTGGAGAGTGTAAAATTGTCATATTGGTGATTCTGGCTTTTGCTTTTGGATCCAAAACTTGGGTCTACAATGAGGGAGGAGCTGTGATCACGTATTCTGTATTGCATTCTCAGTCTCAGTGCTGTGTAACACTGTTTTCTGGTTGCCATGTGCAGATGAGGTTGAAACAACAATGGCCATTGCCACAGTATTGACAAAGCTTGCATTTTCAGTCACCATGGCTGTAGTCATTGCCAGAACGATGCTGCCATATATGGTTCGAATTCTTGTGAGGTGGGGATGACCTTGGATACTGTACACACCTGTTGACTGCACTTATCGATGGTGGCAAATCTGTGGCCCTGCAAACCGTATTGATGGTTCTGGAAGCTTGTTGGTGGTTTGGACAGCTACATGTGTGTCCTGGCTAGTGCAGCCCTGCCATTGATGTCATGTGTCAGAATTCAGCAGGCACTGGTTTTGCAGCGCTGTTTCGCCTGCCTGCCGATTAGACATCAGCTTTGATAATGCGCTCTGGGCACTGGACA